TTCTATATTCTATTTTCTATTCTATATACTATTCTGTTTTCTATTCTATGTTCTATGCTATCTATCTATCATTCTAATTCTATCCTATTCTATATTCTGTTCTATTCTCTATCTTCTAGCCTCCCCCTATCCTGATCTCATCTTCTCCTATTCCCCGCCCCATCCCATCCCACCAAGGACCTCCCTCCCCCTCCCCACCCTCTCTCTCTCTCTCTCCCTCCTGGCAGGGCGCCTTCCTGGTGACGCAGGCCGTGGCCAAGGCGCTGGTGGAGAGCGGGCTCAGCGGGGGCTCCATCGTCCACCTGGGCAGCGTGGTGGGGAAGGTACGGCCGCCGTCGCTTCCTGTGGGGGGGGGGGGGTTCCTGGCGGGGCGGGGGGGGGGGGGGAGAGGCTGGGCCCCTCTCTCTCTGCCAGGCGGCCCCCTCCCCCCCTTCTCTCTCTCTCTCTCTCTCTCTCTCTCTCTCCCCCCGGCCAGGTGGGGAATCTGGGCCAGGTGAACTACGCAGCTTCCAAGGCAGGGGTGGAGGCCCTGGCTAAGACGGCGGCCAAGGAGCTGGCCAGGTGAGCCTCCCTCTGGGGGTGGGGGAGGGAATTGGGGGCCCCCTCCCCCTTGAGCTTGGTGGGGCTCCCCTCCTCCTCCTCCATTGCCGAGCCTCTCAATTTGGATGGAGCGACCCTGGAGGTGCTAAGCAGGCGGAGAATGGTCCTAAGGCGGGGTTTTTTTTCAGGGCCGTTGTAACTTTGGCCACTAAATGAACCCGTCGTAACGTTGAGGACGGCCCGAACTCCAACGGGGGCCTGCTTGTAGAGCAGGGGTCCCCCCCAAACCGTGGTCCCTTTCAGACCGAGGGGACTTCAACTCCCAGAATTCCTCCTGGCTTTGGAGACTAGCTCTGCTGGCTGAGGCATTCTGGGAGTTGAAGTCCCCCCCCCCCCCGGTCTCCAAGGGGCCACGGTTGGAGACCCCTGATATAGATCGGACCAGCCAATCCATCTAATCAGTGACTAGCCAGAGGCCTGTATTCAGAACTCTTCAGTGCACTCGGCACATGCTCAAGGGACCTCTTCCTCCCCATACCCCTGGCTTTGGAGACTAGCTTTGCTGGCTGAGTGAGAGTTGAAGTCCATCAGTCTGCAAGGGGCCCAGGTTGGAGACCCCTGCATTAGAGGGACGGCTCGAAGCCCCACAAGGCCCAGCCCTCTACGAAGACGAAGGCTTGGATTCACACCGGTGCTTTTGTCCCTCCTCTTCCTCCTCCTCCTCCTCCTCCTCCGTTTCCTTGGCCCAGGTACGGCATCCGCTGCAACACCGTTGTGCCCGGGTTCATCCGCACCCCCATGACGGACAAGGTCCCCCCCAAAGTCCTGGATAAGGTCAGCGCCTCCTGCAGATCCTCGGCCGGGGGGGGTCGGTATGTGGGGCGGGGCCTGTACAAGAGACGTGGCCCATTTCCTTTCGTTTTTTTCCCTCCCCGCAGTTCGCTGCGATGGTGCCGATGGGACGCCTGGGGGAGCCCGAAGGTGAGGCCTTTGTCCAGCTGCTCTTCATTGATTGGGGGGGGGGGGGCTGGGGGTGCGAAACTGGAGGGAAAGGGTGCCTCTGCTCATACGCAGAGTGTCGCTCAGGAGAAGCTCTCCCCCCCCCCCCCCCCTGTGATCTGTGTTGAGGTAATTCCCCGTTAGGAGAATGAGCGCGTACAGGGAGACGTATTTGAGAGAAGTGTTTGAATAATACACACACACAGCACACAGATAGGCTGTACAGTAAATGTAGGGTTTTTTTACTTTCCATAAAGGTTTAAGCAAAGTCCAAAACAAGCAGTCCAAAGACATTTACAGGTAAAATCAGTCAGTTTTTCAAATCCAGGGATAATCCAGTAACAAAGTCCAGTGTCCAAAAAAAATTCAGTATCAGACTTGTTAAGCCTGAATTCCCCAACGAGTGTTAAGGAAAACAAACTAAACAGAATGTGTAGCGTAGTCAGATAGGCAGACAGGTAAATGTGTGAGATAAGTTTATATTTACTGATACGCTTGTGCTATCAAAAATATAGTTTATTCCATTATGAATTATAGCATAGTCAAAATAAACGGTCCATTAGTCATGTATCATTTCCGTCAGTCCAGTCGAGGATAGGCAATGTCAGTTCACTTACTATAAATCAGTCCGTATTATCTCTTCTCTCCGTTGAGAAATCAACACTCCTTTCTCTCCTCCGTTCCAGTAAGGAAAAACGCAGTCATCAATCCATCCAGTAATTAGGTATCATTAAGCCAGAGAGAGAGAGCTGCAATTGACTTGCTTCTTTTATGGTGCTTTTACAACCACACCCTTAATTACATTCTTGTAGTTAAAGTTACACATACTTTAACCAACAAACCATGATAACTTATTTATTATTTTTACCCAAACCAGTTAGGGTAAACAATGTTATCCCTAACAAGACTGACATTAAATCCAGAAATATCAGTCAATTAGGAAAAATGGAGGAACGGCAATGCTTTCCAACAGAAGGAAACAGAGACTGAGACACACACTCTTCTGAGATTAAAGACTAAGACTAAAACAACCCAGGTCTCTGGCTCCATCTTTTGGCCGTTTGAGTAACCACACCCAATTGCAGTTTTTAGCATGCTCTTAAAAGAGACAGCATTAAAAAGGTCTATCCTGGTTTATATATCTCTAACCCAAATACCTGTTAGCTGTGACTCATATTCCTAACAATCTGGGCCTGGGGGGGCCCTCGGCGAAGGTCCTCTCTGCCTCAACATCACTCACATCGAGGCACGCCTCTCCTCGCCTGGCCTCTCGTGACTGTGGGGATGCTGCAACAGTCGTAAGTGTGAAAAAGGGTCATAAGTCACTTTTTTCAGTGCCGTTGTAACTTTGAACGGTCCCTCCACACAAGCAAAGTTCCAGCAAAGGAGAGGGGAAAAAACTCCATAGAAGTTCCTGAGACAGGAAGTCTAGTCCTGCCAAGAATGCAATAAGGGTCAACGGAGAGGCAGTTTCTGTAAGCAACACCAGAATGTTTCCTTCCTGCCTTCCTTACAGGATTAGCCCTGTAATTTCTTCTAACAACCGGTTCTCCGAACTGCTTAGAAGGTTAACAACCGGTTCTAGCGAATAGGTGTGAACTGGTAGAATCCCAGCCCTGTTCATCCTCCTGGTTTACTCTTCTCTGCACTTTTTCTAAGAATCTCAAGATCTTTTTTTAAAAAAAAACAAAAACAAGTTTCATTCCATTTTTCACACTGCAAATACTAAAAAGGCTCTTTTTCAGCGGACAACCTATTTCCAGGTCATCCCTTTTACGTGCAAATATGACGATAGTGATATATTCATTTTTTTTACACTCAACTTCCTATCTTATCCAATGTTTACTTTTTCCATTCCAACTTTTACAGGGAAAAAAGAACAAACCAATTAAAAAGATCTTTTTTTTTTTTTTTAGTGTGGGGACCAAAACTAGATGCAACACCGAGCCCGCTTTCCACAGTTTTTCAGAAGTTTCTTCCTAAGAATAGAACAGGGGTCCCCAAACTTGGCCACTTTAAGACGGGTGGACTT